ATTATATATTAAGAACGCACGACCCTCGGCACTAAAGCCAATACCTAGACAAATGTACCACGGATGTCAACTGTGTCATCATAATTTTTTGCTAATTGCACCATATGGCCTGATCGAGTCTCACAGCAAGTCTCTCTCACAAAGAAGATTGTGTCTTTGTGTTATAGACGACAGACATGAAAAAATAGATGCAATATGGGTTTTTAATGGATACCCGTTCTGTTTTTCTTGTGACTTTTGGGACCATCCCCGAAGATGAGGCTTTGGTAAAAAAAATAAAAAAATTGCAACTTGCTTGAAATATTCACTGCTTGGAAATACGAAATGACCAAACGTGAGCTTCATCAAAACTCACCCTAGGACTCACTCGTAATTTAAACTACTAGCAAGTGACCTTGTGGACAACCTTTCTTGTACCCTTTGTGATTTTGTTTTACTAAAACAATTTTAAACAACGTCATACAACTGTCTGATTAATTAACCTTAGAACTTTATTTTAGCTACGCAAAAGTTAGTAAATTACGCCGTATTTTCTCAACTTTCAATACCACATTCATTTCAATCACCATTATTTGTATGTCTCTGGCTGTATAGGAATCAATGAATAGTCAATGTGCAGTGATAAGATCATCTTACAAAGAATCAACCCACAAATATTATTGCATGTTAAGATATCATCGTGTTCATCATTCAGCTCAGTATATAAAAAAGTAAAACTTTATTTTTACTGCACTTTTACAAAGTAATTGTTGGATAAGTCCCTACATGTTACTCAAATTGTCACACAAGGATTTCACCTGCGGTATTGTCGGATTAAATTTTGGCACGACCGCATATGACTTGCCTGACCTATTTTGCACTAGGTCTACGAGAATGCTTAATTTTTAAATGCCAAATAATATTTTATCCTTTTGGATAGAATAAATATAAACTAAATAAATCGTTTTATTTTGCCGACTTAGTTTGCGCTACGAACCAAAAAAAAAAGTAAAAAAAACCTGTGTCAATATAAGGCAAAGGCGTCCTCTGTATGTAGATTTTTTTTAGACCGCTGAATATGTCAGCACTTAAAATTGCAATTAACAATTTTATTGGATTTGAACTCAGTTCGCTCAAGTAAAAGCGAGCGCCCGAACACTGAGCTATCATGGCAGTAACGAACCAAATCAGTCTAATATTACAATGTTTTATTAAAACTAGTAGCGTTAATTTTTGTCACAACCTTTTTTGTTGCGGCAGATTATCATAAATATGTAATATGTATGTACTCTTGAATTTTTGAATTCAGTAACGTATAACGCCGGTTCAGAATATTTCTTCCATCTTCAAGCCTGGTCCTGTTTAATTAAACAAGTGTCACTAACATGCCAGTAATTGATTATTCAGTGACAGCCCGTATCATCAGTGGCATCTTCAATCCTAATATTTATATCCTTTTTGGTTTTTGTACCAAACTGAAAACATTCCGTAAGTCTTTTTTTCACATTTTTAAATTGTTGTCATGGCGGTACATACCACTAATTAACCATATATTTTAGCGTTTGATATTACCAATGCAACTTTAAAAACTCCAAAAAAGATTCCAAGCTATGAGAGACGATATAAGTATCATTTAAAAAAAAATTGAATTTCGTTTTCAATTTTTCAGTACAAGTACCACATTTGTTACCAAATTTCATGATTCCGGGTAAGAGAAAGTACAAAAAACGTTTCACAGGTGAGTTTGTCCGAAATTAATATATAATGTTATACCGTATTATATTATATATTTTTATTTAACATTATTACAACGGACAGATGGCAAAAGTATATAAAAGTATATATTTCTTTTTCACCGATGTTAATAAATCCTAAAGCGTTGGTAACAAAGGCTGATTTTTAAACTATTGAGCAACGTTTAAAATGTGTTATTGCTCAATGTTATCTAGTTTAGAGAAATACATTTGTTGACATATAATTTTGCAATTTTATAATAATTTTTTTTTACATAAATTGAAATTTCCGGATATAATATTTGTCTACGGTTCTCTGAATACAAGTCGTAAGCATTTTGTTTCAATCGTATTTCTCTTTTTGGTCAATCTCGCAGCGGAAATCACTCAATTCGACAAATGAATGGATTGCACTTGATCGTGAGGGTCCGCATACGGCGATTTGAGATTGATTTTTGGCGTTGAATATTTTTTTATTCACTCGACTTAAAAACAAATAAAAATGTATGTTACATATACTAGGTATGCTATCTCTATAATGATAACGGTTAAATTTAACTAAGACAAATATATTTGAGCCATATCTGTCAATCAATAATTAGCAAACATAAATATGTATTTATATATGTTCACCATCCTGCTTTGTTCCTTTAATTAAAAGAATATCGGATAAATTATTGATACATTAATGGTTGGGTAGAATATAAAAGAAAAACTGCAATAATACTAATTTTGATGTTTTACAATACATTTAATCATTAGGGCGATCTCAGTGTAATGTCCTAAGTTTCCAATAATTTCTGTCGAGCGCAGTCATTAAGTCGTATAAACTGCTGGGTTGCCGTAATCCAACCACTTTTGTTATATTTAAACGAGTTTCATTACGAATCGGCTGTAAAAGCGGAGCTGTTAAGAGAAATGGACTGGAAATATCACGCTTGACTTCGAATGACCGTAATTGTCGTCGTATGAAACGGAACGGTCCTTAATGCAATTTAATAATTTCTGTTACAGGTTATTGTTATAATAAGTTTTGGTTTTATTATTATAAATTATAGTTACACTACTAGAATTAAGGGTAGTACCGTTTAAAAATATTCAAACAAACATTCGTGCATACATCTAATAGCGTCAACGAAATACCTTTTACATAATGTTAAAATTTCGATTGAATTTCGAATTGGAAAGGTAAGGATTGACGTACAATTTTTGCAGACACAGTTTATGGGCTATTATATACGAAATTTAGGTGACGTTCTTGCACTCTCCTTTTTCTTTACCATTATACTGATTTCTGAGGTTGACTTTCTATTGTTAACTTTTAGACGTCTTTTCTCAAAATATTTCTTCATTTTCGAACTATCCTGTCCCTTTTATCGATGATCATTCCGCTGTAGCTACGTAGGTCTACGTTGACGTAACTAACGTCGAAAATCTAACAGATCACATTTCTATAAAACTATGCTACTGGACATTGAGGGCATGCTTTATTAGTTTACTCGTTTAAGTCACATTACCGACTTATCACACGTGGATTAACACATCCTGAATTTATCAAAATTGAAAAGCTATTTCATTGTTTGTCATCAGGGATCGAGCATTCTCTGATATTATATACTAGATGTTGGCCATATTGAAATTATTTTAATCGTCGTTATTAGTGTTCAAAGCCTGCTTCAGTTCCTTTTCTTCATCTTTCAAGGAAAACACTTCAGACAAATGAACAGAAACGATGCCCTTTTTAGGATTACACGAAGGAATAAACGAAAATATTTCAGGAAATCGTAAGTTACAAGGCAACAGGGGGCACAATAATTGCAAAATATGTATATTTATATATATTATTTTGATCGCTTAAGTCTTCTCTGACGTTAGCAAAAATTGGAATTTTTCCTTATAATTATATTATGTTGGTAGTACGTAGAAGGGTCAAAATTTCATAACGTGCCTTTATAATACAGCCATTGACAGCCTTTTTAGTCACTTACATTTTTCAGCCTTCATTATTTTCTCTGTTCGTTCCACCTTGTCATCATTCTCCTCGACGTTAACGTTTAGCAACCTGATTAGCACTCTTGGGGGATGCAGAATCGACTTAACTACTACTATTAACGATGAATTCACTCAGCTTCCTGGGTGTTCTTTGGACGCATCCGTCCTTTGAACTGTCCACACCTTGATTTTTGTACTTGTTTACGCATTATGAGATAAACCCCAATTTTTGATATTCACTGATTACTATTAACAGCAACTGCTATAACTTATCTTAGACATAGGTTGATTTATGATGTATAACTTACATATAATTACAATTGAATCTACGCGATTTACAAGATCTTGTGATTACATAAAAGGTACTTACGCTGTTGATATTTTTGCACCGTACCTTTGTTTTCAAAACAAGTTATATTCGACTGCTGTACGTGCCGGTCATGAAAACCGGAACTCTAAACATGAGCGCGTTGGTAAGTCTCATAAATAGGGTTTTCTGTGCATTATTTCGTTGTACCAGTCAATTCCTGACAAATTGTTTGGTTTTTGCTGTCGCACTGAAGCATCCAATAATCGAAATTATTAATTTTAACCTTTACCTTCGCACAGGGTTAATAAAATTAATAAATACTCTTCTAATTTCACCCAGCTTCAAAATGACATAGAATCACATATTATTATTTCATAATATTATTAAAAATTTCATCATTTAAACACAAATCTTCAAATTTACAGATTCATCATACTTACATTTTCACTCACACATAGGAAGTTTCTAGTTCGTTAAATACAATAAACCAAATAAATAATAAAATTTATTTTAATGCCATCTTAAAAAATACCCAATAAATTTTATTTGATTTTCTAATCAAATAAAATCATCTCATCTAATTAATATTGTACTATATTAATTAGATGCCAGACAAAATTATTTAACGTATAGCTTTTGTGGTTCGGAATAAGGCAAAAATTGTGATTATCGAAAGACAGAATTGAACTTTCTTAAAGGTTTGTCAAATCTAATTTTTCTAATCTGTTAACATCATATGGGCTTTTTTTACTATCACTATTTTTTTACATTAGTTTAAATATACAATTTGCTTATAAACGAAACTTTTAACCTTTACTTTCACGAGTTGTCCAAATTTTAGCTCACAGATGTTCTTAGTAGTATGGTTAAATATTAAATGTAAAATTGTCATAACTTTGGTATCTCAATTTTTATTCTAACCATTTTTAAACATATTATCCTCAGTCTTCGAATCACCACACTCCATGAATGATATTTCATCTTTAAAATACTTGAACTTCAACTTCTTTCGGTTTCTTATCCTAAATAAAAATAGCATATGTGAATTTTGAAATAAAGTTTAGTTCCTAGTGAAATATGTATAATTTAATACTAAAATATTTATTTTAGTTATGATTGCAAGTAGTAAACTGCCTGTTCTATTGCAATTACCTCAATTGCCAAATAAAGGCACAAAATATATTATCCTCAGATAGATAAGTGAAGAAAAAAAATTACCATATATATGCCTTTGTTGCCAACAAATTTCATTACATTCCTTTCTTCAACAACATTATTAATGTTCTCCTGATTATTAATTTCTACTGGTTTTGATTTACTCTCAGCTATACTATACTTGTCTTCATAATAAGATATCAGTTTCATCATAAGGACATCGCTTATGTTTGGTTTCGGAGTTACGTCAGTAATCTGTAAACAGGATGTCAAACATGTTTCACTGATTTATTTTGAAAGATTAATAATAGTTTCTTTATTTGAAAAACAAATAATTTATTTGAATACATGTGTCAGTAACTTCCTATTTGTTCATTATAAATTGGAGATATAACATACGAATGAAAAGAACCTTTTAGAACATTTATTCAATTAAGTATTCAAAATACTTTTACAAATAAATCACCTGAGCCGTGTAGACACTAACTATTTTCACAATTGTAACAATAACCAAGACCTTTTTAAATTGTGTTTTCAACACGTGTGACTTAAACGAGTAAAGCATTTCCAATAGCGCGGGCTACACAGATGTGAAAAATAAAAATAAATAGTCACTGAAGCGTAAGAATAGTCCTAGTATGATTTGACTGCAGCCATTGTGAATACAATGGCATACTTTTTAACCATTGTTTTCAGACCATTATTTATTTCTATTATTTGTCTTGTGATTAGTGAAATCAACGATTTATTTCAGTATTATTGGAATGATAAGTGCTGAACCATTACCGAACTCGTGCCGAACACGTTAAAAGACAGGCTTAATATGCCCACTTCAAGTGGTGGCCTCGGGCTGACCTTCCACATCAAAACGGCGTTAAGCTGATTCCTCTTGCTTTTGCCATAGGAGACGAAACCACGGATTCTAATCCCCTCTGCAATGACAACGCGGGAACGGCTCTGATTATCATATCGAACCCTTCAGCAGTTTAACAGTTCTCCTATATTTTGGTTCATTATTCCCATCCGTTTGCGTTTGGCCTGACGTTTGTCACTTCAAACTCGTTATTGTTGTTAATATGGCGGTGGTAGGGCCACGCAACAGTGTTCACTGCTGCACGAATGGGCAGGTTCATCCGGGTTAGTACCACGACCTCACAGAAGACCGGCGTGAAGTAGAAGTGTGCGCTTCTGCGTTTCGCCTGGTAAGTGAGGTAGCCCGGGCCCACTTTATTAAGAGGTGGCACCGCATCTGCAACCCTATGGGTGTTGCAAATGTCCATGAGTAGGCGTGTTATCACTTAACATCAGGTGAACCGCCTGCTCGTTTGCCGCTTTTTCACGTAAAAAAATAGTTTAGTTAGGGACTTTAGTTCTCATATAAATTACTTAGTTTTGGTTTTTTCCATGAGACAAATCTTGCGAACACAGCCCGCTGATCGAACCTATGAAACATTCCTTTCAAATGCAAAATCAATAGACTTCTCTTTCCGTCAATTCTAGTTTTCGCCAGTCTGCTGTAAGGATTTTTGTATGTGAATTGTTGACAAGCAAGCTGGTGTTTCATCTGATGTTAAGTGATTACTGTCACCATGCTCTACTTTTTTGAAAAAGTCCAATTGTTGATATGTGACGCAAATGACTAGAATGTACGGTGCAAATTTAACAAACCTTTTGAAAAAAAAATAGATAATATTTTCTTCAAAAAACATGTGTGTACTATAAATGAAAAAAGAATTTATGGTACTTTGGAATTGCACCCTATAAATCAGCAAGAATTATTCACCCCGTCACATATAAAATCGAGCTGTAAGCGCATTTACAAGAGTGCTAATTCTTTACAGTCATTTTAATAAATTTTCATCACACGAACAGCTCTTTACATCTCGTATTTGTTTTAAGCATATTTACATATTTTCTTATAAGCATTTATCGGAAATTTTAGGTGGCAGATTGGCGAAGTTATTAAAGTTATTCATAAAAAATCGACAAAGTACCAGTCGGACTCGCGCACGAAGAATTTCGTACCATTATCTATAAAAACGGCAAAGCAATCATGTCTGTTGTATGGGAGCCCCACTTAAATATTTTTTATTCTGTTTTTTGTATTTCTGTATTCTGTATCTCAGTATATTTGTTGTTACAGCGACAACGGAAATACATGATCTGTGAAAATTTCACTGTTTAACTATCACGGTTCATGAAATACTGCCTGGTGACAGACAGACAGATAGACAGACAGCGGAGTGTTTTCTATTTAAATAAAAGTGACAGTAGAATAATTTAACCTCAGATAAATATTGAAGTGTTTCCTCATTTTTATTTTTTAACTACGTTCGTATGTAGTTAATAAAAATGTTAATAAAAAAACATAAACACGCGAAATTATTCTTACCGTTATGTCTTTTTCTATTTCTATTATCTTATTGTCTATTATATATATTTATTCTTATTATATTTATATATTACCTATTTCTATTGGTGCTGTTATGGCCTCCGTCATCCAGATCGAATTGTGTGGTAGGTTAATATCTTTGATACAGCGGGCTTTCTGGTAATGTACGTATTGGATTCTACATACATTGGAATCTATTAAGTTCACCACCTTTGTTATCCTGCTGCCCAGCTGTTTTTTCGTCGCATTGATTGTAGTAGGATCACGCAACAATCCTAGCTTTCACAAGAATGGGCAGATCCTTCCAAAGTACAATGACCTCACAGAAGACCCGCGTGAAGTGGAAGGTTATACTTCTGAAATCGAACCTCCTCGAATTCCAAGCTGTTACTTTGGAGGAGATTTAAGGTATATAAAAATTAAATTTGGATGGTATTAGAGATTACTGAAACTGCTTTATTTATTCAAAATGTCTTTACTAATAAAAAGCTTAGGTATTCATAAGTAATGTATTTGTAGTTCATTTGACGTTTCGCTCATTAAAGCTTCAAAACTTTAATGTTTGCTGAGTAATTCAAACAGAAAATTAAAATGACAAAACCTACATTTTTGTAATTACATGCTAGGATGTTGAATTTTATCATATTAAAAAAAATATTCATGTTTAAGTCCCTTAAACTGAAAGAGTGTAACTAAGTATACTCGTACGTTCTGTCAACTTAACTCAGTGTAGTAACTTAGTTCTTCCTATTCGTGTGTAGCCGAGTAAGCTGTTTAAAATTCCCATATACCGATATCATACATCTAACGTACATTTCACAATCATTCGGAATTTAATATTCGTCACGTTGTATTCATCTCTAAAAAATATGTGTGCGCATTCAATAAAAACTTTTAATACGGAAGCACCGAGGCCGCCGGAAATTAAAAACGTTTGATATAAAATGAACCATCCGCATTGATACACACTAGGATTGAGAGTTTCTGTATTAGAAATGAAATATTTTGAATAGTAAATAGAGTTTTAAGTATAACAGAAATTTTATAGAAACTTGGGTGTCTCAACTGGCTATAATTTTTTTTAGTATTTAGTACCAGTTCAGGTCTATCCTTATTGAGAGCTGAATATATCTCTAATCATGTTTATTCAGCAAAGACCATTTACAAATGACGGAGCTGATGCTATGCTGTTGGAAATAATCTAAGCAACGGTTTACGTCAAGGATAACATCGTTTAGCGTTGAGCTTTAATAAATATTAAATCAAAATAAAGATTGACAGCCAAAATAAAGGGTTTAATATATTTCTCAGGCTTCGCGACTTCGCATGAAGGGGGTGTGGACTGCCTGCAAGTTAAACGTGTCAGTAACACGCGGGATGCTCGTAGGCTACCCCGGTCCGTTTATTAATTTTTTACATATACACAAACACATTTGTGTATACCTACTCCGTTTCTAGGAAATTATCAAAGATTTCTTATTAAAATACTCATAAACACCAAAATCTTAATGCAATATTCATATAAATACAAATAAAACTCGAGATCCTACAAAACAGTATTAAATATATGTTTCAAGTCCAGTTTGTCACTGGACCACAGTTGTATCCATTGTTTTCACTATGAACCAATCTTTAACCTTTTGATTTTGAGTTTGATGATATATCGAAATTGCTTTGAAATGCTACTGCTAGACACAGGCCTCCTCTTTATAGATGGTATTAGTATACAGGGTGGCTTTTCTAAAGGCTTTTCCAAATTCACGCAGGAGGTTTAGACTCAGTAGTATAAACGTCTATTGAAATAAAACAAACTTTTGTTTTTTCAAAAACATTGCCATTCCATTCCCTAAAAAACAGAACTTATTGACAATGCGGAAGTCTTTCATAAAAGCGTCGTATACTTTTAAAACAAACTTGTGTGCGTGTTAGTTATGAGTTGCCCATAATTCACGCACTATTTTAGATAAGTTCAAATAAATGTATTTAATTAATTACGGGTGATTTTAATATTTATCATTTTATATAACATTATTTATTTCTATAATTTATTAAAAAAAATGGATACACTTAGAAAAGCCTCCCTGTATAGTCCACCATACGACTTCACCGTGGATTACTGATTTCACATACGGATTTCACATAAAGTCGGCATATTTTTTATTACTATTTCGAAAACCTATTATTGCTGGTTTTCTTCATCTCTGAGTATGTGATAAGTCAGCATTTAAAATTGCAATTAACAATTTTAATTTGTTTCGGCACAGGTATTTGAACTCGAGTATTTCGAGTATATTGAATTAAAATAGAGGGCCCGACACTGAGCAATGACGGTTTAACTTATCGGTGTTGGATTATTTAATTATAATACAAAACAGAAATCACGCAAATACGGACTGCACAATGCTACGAGGCTCCCTTAGGCAAATGTTTTTTAAACAATTTTATGGTAACAGTTTATATAAACCTTGAATGAAGATATCATATATATTTTTAGATTAGCTCTGTCTTATAAGTGAAACATGGTTATGGTTATAATAAATCGTATACATAAATTACTAACTCAAGTGTAGACATTACTAGTGGAGTTTTGAATACGCAGGCGTAATGTGGTCACATTGAGGACTAGCCCCGACAATAAACATAAATATTTTTGCGCTGTTATAGCGGTAGTCAACTGTGTAATTAAATTCCTTTGAATTGCACGAATAATTCACCGTAAGTGTTCAAAATTTGTGTGTTAACCAGTCAACGCAAATAAAACATTCAAACATCAAATTCAATCAATGTTTGTTTGAATGTTTTATTTCCGTTCACTGTTGTTCGGTAATTTCAGGGGAATTGAGAACTAGAAGTTCGTTTCAAAAACAAAGCCGACTTCAAATATCTCGCTCTATATTCATTTTATAATTCCCGCTCTATATTCATTTTAGAGTTCCCTAAGTATGTCCGGAGCTAAAGATCCAATAACAATAAAATTAATATGGGACCAAATGGGAAGCACCGGGTTTCAAATAAAAAAAGAATCATCAAAATCGCTTCCCACAGTCAAAAGTTCGGAGGTAACAAACATTAAAAAAAATATTTTAAAGTCGGTTGAAAATATTGTGCTATTATGATATAACTTATATAATACCATATAACTAATATTTATATTATGCTTCTAATAAAGAGAA